TATCTCTAGCTTGGTCACAAAATTCTTTCTTCGTCTCCCATTTGCCAAATCATGGAAGAATCTAGTATTCCCATTGCCTTTCGTAATCCACTTGTGTCTAGATTTTTGTCTCCAACTGATTTCTTCCCTCAGTAACACCTCTTCCAAATCCTTTTTCAATTGTCTCCTTAACACTTTGTCCTCCTCACTCAGCCCATTTTGAGATTCCTTTACATCCAAGTTCTCTATTCGAGAGATTAGGCACAATTTTTGCTCCTCAATTCTACCAAAATGATCTCTATTCCACTCTTTTATTTTGGCTCTCAACCTTTTAAAATTCTTATGAAAATTGATCCCCTTCCATCTTACCCCCCTCTCCTCCTCACCCCACCATTCCTTCACTACTCAAAGAAAAGGAATTAGGCAGTGTATTTTACATCCTTTATCTCTTTGTCTCTTATAATTCATTATCTTCCTCATACTGTGCCTTCATTTCATCTATTTCCACTGTGTCAATTCCCTACAATGTTACTAAGTCTATTTCAAAACCTAAGTATACAGCTGCTTTGCTGGAGGAAACAAGTGCCTTGGAAAAAAAATAACACTTGGAAGCTAATAAACCTTCCACAAGGCCTTAGTAAAAAGGTTCCTTTTTAGCTAGTATTTAAAGGGCCTTAGTAAAAAGGAAAAGTCCTTTGAAGAATCTGCTCCACAGTCATCTTTTGAACAATTTGGAAGGAAAGAAATGCTCAGGTTTTTTAGGACAATTCTTCCCAACTAGGCCTTTAAACAGATCAAATTCGAATAGAATCAACATTTGAATTTAAATTAGATTAAAATTACTGATATTCAAATTCAACTCAATATACGACAGATATCAAGAATTCAATTTAGCTTAATGTCCAATTCAATTAGATTATGCATAATTTATTCCTGGTTTAGTGATTTCCCCATCTTCATAAGAAACTGCAAACTAAAAAGAAGATGAAAAGATGCTAATGCCTGTAAAATCATGGCAATAGCAAGTTTGGCCACCGCTGTGGTCTGTGGTGAATGAGATAACCTCCAGTGTCCAGTGGGTACGGATAACAATGCGGCAAGCAGCAAGAGTACGCAGGGGTCTTCTCAAGCAAGGAGATGGTAGCGACAATGATGGCTGATAACAGACTGAGACAGGCAATCGATCAACAGCAATAGGTGCGACAAGTAGGGGATAGCAAGCAGCAGTGGTGGGCTGGTGGCCAGTGGGCGGTTAGGCAATAGGATCAGGGTCCATTCAGACAGAGAAAGGTAGGGGAGAGTCAAGAGACTGAAGTAGATTCGTAAATCAAAATGGGGCCTAACGAATTTGGGAGGGGAGGAGGAATCATTTAGAGTTTAGTGTTTTATGCTTTTACCCCTGTATATATATTCGACCAAATCAGGCCATATCTGAATTTTATCTGATTAAATAATTGGTCAAAAAACTATATTCGAATTCGATCAATATCCAAATCGAACTATCTGAATTTGACTAGATTATGTCAAATCTTGTATTTGAATTCAGATTTTCTAGTACCATTTACAGGCCTATTTCCAACAAGAGGAACTCATTTGACATATGACTAGGAAAACCTATTCGGGACTGGCAACAGTGGCAGATTTCAGGGATGTCCCTTACTCCCATTTTTTATTACAATATTTTTTATAATTATTACTGATCAGTCACAACTCATACAATATTAGTATATAGCTACTTGTTGCACACTGTACATTTTTGACATAGTGATAATGAGTACTTGACGGTTACTTAGAGAAAAAAAAAATCTTCCAAGAGGCAAAGAAATGTTGGGATGCAAGTTAGTGTTCATTATGAAGCACAAAGTAGAAAAATCAGTTGACAAGGCAAGAACAAGATTTGTAACCAATGGAGAGAAACAAATGGCATTGACTACACAAATACCTTTACTCAAATACTAAATAAGAGTTATGTTTAGCTTCAAATCTTGGATTGGAAAAGAAAGAGAAGGAGAACTAGGGGAAGGAATTCCCTCTAGAGAGGCCAAGAAGCTAAAGAGACTTTTTTTATTGGAAATATGAGGGATTTTCTGTGGGAACCAGGAAAAAAAGGACCATCTACTCACCTGGGAAATAGTGTGTTAAGAGTAAGGAAGAAGGATGTTTAGGTTTAGAGAATTTACAGAGTAGGAACTCTTGTTGTTGGTGAAGTGGTTATGGAGATGGCCTTTAGAAAGAGACAGGTTGTGGCATGAGGTAATTGCGAGTATTCACGGAGTCTTGGAAAATGGCTGGGATGCTGGCGTCTCTCGTCAGGCTACTATGGCAACACCATGGAAAGCTATTCACAGTATCCTTCCTCTTTTTCTCAACTTTGTCAGGTATGACGTTTGTACTCTTTTGGGAGGACATTTGGGTAGGTAATCAGTCTCTAGAGGATCTCTTCTCATCTCTTCACTCCATTTCTTTGATTAGGAAAGAGGTCGTTTCCAACTTACTCTCCTCACCTATTTTTCTTTTGTACTTGACTTGGGATTTCGGCTTCAGAAAGGGGTTGAGGGTGATGAGCCTCTTGTGCTTCTGAACTTTTGCTTCTTCTTGATAGTGTTTGTCTGGACCCTTCCAAGCCCGATATAAGGCTTTGGTCATCCAGCCCAAAAGGTACCTTTTCTTATGCTTCCTTTTTCAAGGCCCTTTGTTCCCACCCTATTCCTAGGGTGTTACCGGTTAAGGAACTTTGGTTTAAGCCAGTGCCACCCAAAATTTCTATTTTTTTGTTGGCAAGTGTTTCGTGGAAAGATTTAACACTTGGGACAACCTGCAAAAGAGAAGACCTTTCTTGTATTTGTCACCTAACTGATGCTTTTTATGCAAAGCTAGTGAGGAGACTTGCACTCACTTGTTTCTATCTTGTCCTTTGGTTACAGCTATTTGGAGTAGGATTTTCTCTTTATTTGGGTGCAGGTGGAACCTACCAACAGAAGCTCATTTTTCGATCTGACTCTATTTGTTTAGCACACAAAGAGGGCAAAAATTATGTGGAAGAGTATTATAGCAGCCAACCTTTGGACAATTTGGGAATAAAGGAGCAGCAGAATCTTCCATGAGAAAGAAAGAAGTCTCTCAGAACTAAAGGAGTGCATTTTAACAAGAGCAATAGTGCAATACATTGGTTGAGAACCCTTATCTCATTCCACTCTTATATATTTGATGATCTATAGAGAAACTGGTTGGAAGTGGCTAATAGCTCCACTAGAAGCACTAGAGTATCTCAAATTGGTCTTCACCTGTGTATGGGTTCATAAAATTGAACTTTGATGGAAGCAGTCAAGGAAATCCAGGGCACCTAGGTGTGGCCTGTGGGTGGAGTTTTGAGGAATGAGGCTGGCAACTTATTATCTCTTTTCTCAGGCCCAGTGAGATCAGGAGACTCTACTAGAGCTCAACTACTAGCTGCAGTACAAGGAATTCAGATTGCAAGCCAACTAGGTGTCAACAGATTATGTATTGAAGGAAATTCTAAGGTGGTGGTAGGGTGGTTACAGATCCAGATTCTGCTATTTGGAAATACAGGGAGTTATTAAGGAACATCAAGTGGCTAACAAGGGATAATGACAATCAGAATACAATGGGTGAGCAAGTCAGCTAATGCCATGGCTGATGGCTAAACAAGGGGCTGTTAGGGAATTACTGTTTGTGGCTGAGTTGTAATACTTAAATTTTTCAGTTCGACTTTCAGTTTTTTGGGCTCAAGGGTGTGGCTGCATCTTGTGCCCCCCAAGGGGAGCTTGTAACTGCTTTAATCTCTCGTCAATAAAATCTATTCGTTTATCAAAAAACAAGTAGGGAGGAAAGAGAAGAACACGGTTGTGTAAATCAGAAGAGGAAATGAGGGTATCATGATTCATGTTACTATTTATCTTTAACATTACAAATAAGAAAAATACAGAAATACCCCTACAACCCAAGTTACAACTATACCACTGAGAAATTTCTCTCTTGATAATAGGTAAAATAAATATCTTCCAAGAAAAAGGCCATCACCAAATACCAGTCCTGGCTATCCAAGGTCTTGGAATGAGTAGACTGGAAATGGACCTAATATCAAGGGACAGTATGAACATTGGCTGATATTATTAAAACCACCAACTACCTACTTTAGAAACCAACATTCATTATCAAGCCATACCCCACAAAACCCACAGAAGCTAAAAATCTAAAATTCATATAGAAATCATATAACAAAGACCCACTTTAATAAATTAATGAGACCTACCATAGGTTTATCATAGAATGGAAAGTTTTGCATTTGACGCACTGCATTACTAGCAGCTGTAACTTCACTAAATGCAACCCATGCTTGGCCTCGAAGCTTGGAAGTTTTCAAGGCAACAACATCCAAAATCCTTCCATACTGTGAGAATAAAGCATAAAGAGACCTCTTCAATTCTGCCAAAGAAGAATGTATACAAAGAAGGCATCAGAAAATTGCATAATATAATTTATAATAGCAAGTGTATGTTAATAATTACAGTAGTTAAACATAACTGCAAATATGAATATGTAGAATTACAATTGAAAGGTAAGAAAATTCGAATAACAGCATAGTGATTTTATTTTCACCTTTTCTTATGCATGCAGATTCTCTCTTGTACTATGGTTCATATTGAAATTGATTCAGTACACCAAAAAAAACAAAAAAAAATATTATGGAACTTAATAAAATAAACACAAAAAAGGAACTGCAAAATGGTAGTATATATGCTTGCTTTGGTATAAAAAAAATAAAAAAAATAGCCAAGACATGATTCCTTGAAGGATCTCCAGAAGGAAAGACCACGCAGATTATTAATAATAATACCTTCGCATGGATACATAATTTATTATAGTAAACATGAAATATATCAAAATGAAAAAAGAGATACATAACAGCAATGAGAAATCACCAAGAAGATTTGTATACTGAATTAGCAATCATCACCCTAAAAAACACTCATACATTCTGAACTCCACAGTGGCAAGTCCTCCCAAACCCTACTAAATAAAGCTTCAACCCCCACCCCTCCAAAAAATCAATGATCAACCCCCGCATTTACAATACAATGACCAGAACAAGAAAAACTGTGCAAAATGAACATAACCTTCTCCTCTATAAGGAATGTACAACATAAGCTTTTTCCAGTCCAGAAGGAGTACTACAACATCCTAAACCTCATAAGCATCTCTCTACACCTCCATAATCTCCTGCTCCTTTGTACATCATATTTGAGAGTTTTTTCTATTCTCTTTTTGGCTGCAGGTGGGACCACCACAAGAGGTGGTGGATATCTTCAACCCAACTTTCTTGAGGCAACCAAAGAAGAGAGGAAGGATAATTGTGGAGAGCCATTAGGGCAGCAGTTGTTTGGACAGTGTGGGAGAGAGGAATAACAGAATTTTTTCTGCAAAGAAGAGGTCTTTGAAGGAGGTTCTAGATAGTATTAAAGTGAAGGTAGCTTTTTGGGTAAAAACCATTGACAGTTGCCACAACTTCTTAGTGCCTGACATTATATGTATCTGGAGGGAAGTAGCAAATTCCTCCAAGGAAAAGAAGAGATAAAAATGGAATGGAAACCCCCAGTAGGTGCTAAAGTAAAACTGAACTTTGGGGAGCTCATTGGGCAACCCAGGGTTGGCAGGAATAGGTGGTGCAATTAGAAACTAGGAGAGTAGGATACTGGCATTATTCAGGGCCAATTGGTACTGCAAATTCGGTGAAGACTGAACTATTGACACTACCAATAGGGGCTCAGGCTTGCAAAACAATTGGGCTTCAGACAAGTGGAGGTGGAAGAGGACTCAAAAGTCACTATCTCATGGGCAAGATGTAATACACAAATCCCATGGACCCTCAAACATGTTTTCAGGGAAGTGGAAAGGGTAGCAAAGGACCTAAATGCTGAATTCAAATGGATTAGGAGTGCAAATGGGCTAGCTGACTCCCTAGCAAAACAAGGGACTGTAAGACAGCATTTGTACTGGGCTTCTTTGTAAATCAGCCTATGTATTGTGAAGACATTTTGTACTTACTCACTATTAATACAACAATATAAATTTTTGCTGATCATAAAAAAACATACCATCGTTTGTTTTACAAGTATCCCTGTCCACTCTGCATATCAATCCACCTTTGCAGATTCTGAATCTTTAATCCTCTCATTCTTCTAACTTTAAAACTGTTCTCCCTTCACATTCTTCCCTCCAAGAAGAATATAACCAAACTCCTTCCCACTTAAACCATTCTGTCTATCACCTTCTCAATCTCATTTTTTATCCATTTGAATCATGTTGTCCAATGGGCAGGAACCATCCAAAATTTCTTGACCTGATTCATCTCCCCCTCAATTCTAAATAATTTTCTAGAATATTCAATTGCTTACCACACAAAGATTCTATTTTGAAGCTATTGTTCTGAAAAACTTGCCCTCAACATGCATGTTCTGGGACCATGACACCCCTCAGAACATGCAACAATGTTTATATGCCCATATTCAATTTCAAGCTAATATGCACAGTTGTGAAACTAGTGTTGTAAATCTAGGGTTTGTATGAGAAAGAAAGAAAGAAAGAAAAAAAGAAAGAAAGAGAGAGGAAGAAGAAGAAGAAGAAGAAAAGAATGTGTCAAGTGGTGTGTTTCTGTTACTATTCACACCCTCAAAAGGCACTTTATATTTTAAAGCAAGAAATTACAAGGAGGCCCCTACTTGGGCACCCAAATACAAAGAGTACAAACTACAAAGAGAAGAGGAAAAGATTAAAAACACCCTTGCCTAAACTTTCTCAACACTTCCCCTCAAGCTGAGAATATATGTCAATCATGCCCAACTTGGCAAGGTTCTTAGCAAACTTTGGGTGGTGAACACCTTTAGTGAGGCAATCAGCTAGTTGGTCTTTCGACCTTACAAAAGGAAGGAAAAGCTTACCCTTCCATCAACTGGGAGATACTTGGGATATCGTCGCCTATCACAACAATGTCATCAAATGTCATTAACAGATACTATCAACATTGTTACTCTTCCATCAACTCTTCTAATGAATAAGGTGTGATATGCCTGAGATTGAGAAAACCCAATTTTTATGATAGCATTTTTGAACTTGTCAAACTAGGCTCTAGGAGATTACTTGAGCCTATACAAGGACTTCTTCAAGCGGCAAACTTTTCCTTTACTGTTAGAAAAGCTTACCCCAGGTGGTAAGTCCATATACACTTCCTCTTGTAAGTCCCCATTAAGGAATGCATTCTTCACATCCATTTGATATAAAGGTCAAGGGTAATGGGCAACAAAAGACATGATCACACGAATAGAGTTCATTTTAGCAACTGGAACAAAGGTTTCCAAATAATCAATGCCATAAGTTTGTGTGTATCCTTTGGCAACAAGCCAAGCTTTGTACCTCTCAATTGAGCCATCTGCCTTGTGCTTAATGGTGTATACCCACTTACACCCAATAGGAATCTTATCCTTAGGACAAGGAACAACCTCCCAAGTCTAGTTCTTTATTAGGGCCTCCATCTCTTGGTTCATAGCTTCCTTCCAGTGAGGGGACTGCATCGCCTCTGTAACACTACGAGGGATGGAAACAAAGAGATGGCGGAAATATAGTTACAATAGGAAGGTGAGAGAGCATCATAAGACACATAGTTAGTAATAGGATACTTGCTACATGTCATTTTCCCTTTTCGAATGGCAATAAGAAGATCAAGATCAGGATCAGTAATAGAATTATCAGGAAGTTCAAGATTACCTGAGTTTGGGATATCAGATTGTGATGGGCATTATGCTTTAAGAGCCACCCTCTTACTATGCCTGATGAAAAACTGATGCCAGGGCCAAGGTCGATACACAGGAGGAGGAGGAGGTGGAGGAATGCCATCATTACAAGGAAAAGAGGGAGGAGGAGGAACGGAAGAGACAGGGACAGCAAGGCAGAAGGGAATCCAATCTTCACTTGCATTCCCCCCTGAAGAAAAGGACAAGATGATTAGAAAAAAAAAGGACTCCAAAAAGGTAACATCCTTAGAGACACATCTCTTTCTAGAGAGAGTATCAAAGCATCTATAATCTTTCTGGATAGGAGAATAACCGAGGAAGATACATTTAACTGACTTAGGATCAAACTTACGTCGGAAAGACTCATATCATGAACAAAACAAACACAACCAAAGATTTTGAGGGGGAGATTAAAAGGAGATTCATCAGGAAAGAGAAGTTGATATGGAGACTAAAGATTAAAGGCCTTTGAAGGAAGTATGTTGATGAGATACATAGTTGTCTCAACAACATCACCCCAGAAACAGGTGGGAACATGAGTCTAGAAAAATAAACCTTGAGCAACTTCAACCACATGCCTATTCTTCCTTTCGACTACCCCATTTTGTTGTGAGTATGACTATATGAACTTTGGTGAATAATGCCCCGATCTTCAAAAAATCTATGCAAATGATGTTCAAAGTATTCCTTGGCATTGTCAGATCTTATTATCCTAACTCTTTTCTCAAACTGTCTCTATCATATTCATGGAGTTTTAAACCATCATAGGAACTTCATCTTGACTTTTCATCAAGTAGAGCCATGTACACCGACTGTAATCATCAATAAAGAATATGAAGTATTTATACCCACTCATGCAAGGGATAGCATATGAGCCCCAAACATCAATATGGATCAAATGAAAAGCAACATTACTTCTTTACGACTCGCAAAATATGTGCTTTACATTGTTTTGATAGATGACAAACTTCACATTCAAAGTCCAACTTTGACATTGAGTCAAATAAATTTGGGAAAAAAGTTTTACAAAATTGAAAGACGTATGACCAAGACAACAATGCCATAATTTCAAAAGACTCATTTTCTCATTTGAACAAGACTCAGTCTGGCTCGATAATCCATGCTCTGAAGATCCATCAAAGAAGTATACTCCAACTTCATACCCACTTCCAATCTTCCCCGTGCTCAGGCCCTAAAAAACACAATGGGTAGGAAAAAAGGTTATTAAGAAACTATGGGATTTTGTAAGAGAACAAACAGACAACAAACTTTTATGTAACTGGGGCACATGAAGAACAAATTCAAGAGAAAGGTTATGAGTGAGTTTGACTTCACCCTGACCCGAAATAAGGGTCTAAGATCCATCAGCAACAGTAATCTTGCCCTTCCCTGGGATTAACTTATATGAGGTAAAATGTGAAAGCATACCAGTCATATGGGCATTGGCCCCGAAGTCTACAATCCATGGACTAAAAGATGTGGAACAAGCAAGTGCAATACCTGTCTTGACGTATGAACTAGATGGAATACTAGGTCCAAAACCAATGAGAAGGATGTACCACCCTTTTCCAACTACAACAATATATTCCTGAATTTGTCCATTACATCAGAGGAGTCAAGAAAAGGTTGAGCCTCATT